AAAATGCAACATTTCAGAATAGAATAATACAATCGGTAAAGTTCTGTGTATAGGTTTTATTTGTTAGCATGCGTGGTGATTCAACCAGCCAGTATCTTGTTTATACTGATCAGCTCCCACCTAGCTAAAACATAAATTCTGCTTGCTGTCCAGAGGAGAGAACTAGTGCTGGTGGGTCTTCATGTATTACAGTTTTCACATCTGGTTTAGAATTCAGAGACACTCAGTTTGTTTCATGCTACTGCCAGGTGAGATCCTGGTTCAGTACTTACACAGCAATATTAATGTCATGTCAGCATATAGTTGAAGTGCTAAATTTTCAATGTAAATGTACCCATGCATTGATACCCTGGAGTTCATTAACACTGAAGTTGATTGAGGGTGAATCTGAGGAAAGCTTTATCTTAGATATTGAACTGCATCTGGTGCAAGAGTTTGAATCAGTGGAGCACAGTCCATAAGAATATGAATGGTACACAATTTATTGGAAAGGGTAGGGTCATTAAATTCGAATGGATTTTTGTTCATTCATAATTTTATTCTAGCTTTGTTTTTACATATAGTTTCTCTCCAAGTGGGCAGGGGCGAGAATGATGGCAAACCCTGTACATAGGCTGCCAGCTACTTCATTCTCTGCTGTTAGGATAATGTTCCTTGATTTTCCATCTTTCAAAGGTCCTGCTCCATTTAATATGGAAGAGACTACACTGTTCATGTTGAACTTGTGTGAAAATCTGACTGTAATTAAAATTATTCAGATTAAGACAAAGAAAACATGGCAGGAATTCTTGTCAGGAAGCCTTGGTAAAATATAAATTTGGGCTGGAGAAATGATAAATTTAAAAGTGAAATGTATATTGGCCTGATATGCTCTGCAACTGGGTGCAGTAATTGCTTTGATTTCTGACTGAGGTATTTGTATTGTATTCTACAAACCCTATAAAATTTCGAACTTTTCCACGCATGGTTATTTCCATTTCTGATTAAAGAATATTATAACCAGAAGTTTAAAGACTAGGAGCAAATTTTTTGGATATAAAATTCACGTTATATTTCTGTATATAGCCCAGGTTTATCAAAATCATCAAATAACAGGGACAGATTTTGGAAATAAGATATTCTAAGGATTAGACATTTTGCGATTTCCAATGAGTTCAATGTCCCATTTCTTCTCCATGTATCTTGCAAGATCTGATTTATGAATTAAAGCATTTCTGATTTATAAACATTTGGTTTTATAGAGATACAAGATAAATGCAGGTACAACTGAATACAGCAAATAATACAATGCAGCATTTTACACAATCTTAGGCCGCATTAGCAGGAGCGTTTTGTTCGATTAAGTCCTTGTAATCGTGATCTGCTCAATGGCCAGCACAATGTTACAGTTGGCTCCATAGAAACCGTGCATTTCCTCTCGGTAGTCAAGTACTCTATATATTGATGAAAATGACTAGTAGAAGTGAGTGTCACTGGTATTTGTTAACGAATAGTTCACGTTATTTGTCTGCGTTGAGCCAATTATTGGACATTCTTTGTTGTCGAAAAAAAAATGATGATTTGCGCCTGAACGCTTGCAGCAGAGCCTGAACATTTTGTGTGAGAATTTCCAACAAAACTCCGTGCCATCCTTCGGGAAATCCCACCAGCGCACGGAAAGTCTGAGATTCTCTGCGAATTAGTAATGATATTGTTTGACTCGGAAGTATTAAGGGGCCATTGCAGCTCTTAAGTTCGAGCTATTGGAATGGCATTATTAACTTGTAGTTCCTGTTTAGGGCGATTCTCTCGATTCAGCAACCATTCTAAAAACATAATGGTATCTCGCTTCAAAACGTAACCTTTTGAATTGTTGTATCTTAAGTTAAACAAAGGGCGTAAAATATAGGTTTAAAACCAGTTAATAGACCCCGTCTTTATCCATCTATACATATGAAATTGTCGTAAAACAGCCATAAATACTTTGATTAACGTGTGATTTTTTAAAAAGAACGTTTACGATTATTTTACCCCAGATGGTACGTATTCTATTTTTTTGGGGGGGGAGTGGGGGGAAGAAAATGACCTTAACCCTTTCATTTCTTCCACCCTCCACCTTTTCTAATGAGGACCATGTGCAACAATCAAGAACTAAAACAAAAAGTGCTCTTGCTCGATATTAAAAGAGAAGAAAGCTGCAATCCACAGTGTTGTCTGATGGACGGAGCCCAGTGTGAGAGCCTCCCATTATTTTGTTGGCTGACATCCCCTCAACTCTCGGACAGAGGAAGCACACAGAGCAACACCCATCAGTCAGTAGATGGCAGTAACGACCAAGCCTGGAGCTGAAGAAGAAGAAATGAAAGAAAACACATCGCAAAGAAATAGCTTCATTGATTGTTCAGCCTTTAATATGTAAAGGAGTTTTACTTCTGTACCATGTGCTGCTGGATAACAGTATTTTTCACTACCTCCCTATCAAAAAAAATCTTTTGGTTATTTCTGGATGTTTCCCTCCCCATCACAAACTCATAACCGTCCTCTCTCCGGCTGACTTGTGGCTCTAAGCTTGTAAATTTGAAGTTGTTTTTTGTTTTAATTATAACTTTGTAGCATTTGTTGCCAATTTCCCGTAGTTTCTATTTCAAAACAAGTTCGCACCTGTAGGGTTTTATGCCGAGGGTCTGAGGATTGTGTGATAGCAAGCCCGCGCGATAAATTATTCTGATGTACAGTCACTTTAAAATGTTGACATCTCGATTTGTAAATTATCCACGTGTATGGGCGGGACAGACGAGAAAACAATCTAATTCTATTAACATGTAGAAATACGAACAATGTCAAGTGTCGCCACAGCGTATTGTCCAGAGTAAAGACTAAATTCCAACTGGTGTACATTGCAGATGGTGCGAACGATTAGAACACCTCTTTCTTTTCAAGTTTGAACCCTCCTGTGAACATTCGTTCCCATGATCGTCAGGTGAAGAGAGGGGAATGAGAGCTGAAAGTCAGAGAATTCTTTTACAAACATTGTCTTTGGAAAATGAGCGCTCCCCTTGGTCTGTGAAAGGGGAAGTTTCGGATTCCAAGGTGATAACGGGACCGGGCGACGAGTTTCGGGAAAAGGTTTTTTTTGTGGGTTGTGGTTTGAAAGGGGCGAGCGGAGACGGAGATTTGAGGAGAACACGGGAGTCTCTGAACTGTGCACCTGAGGAAGGTGGAAAACAATCTCCTATGAATTTACAGACATATATTAGTGTGGGGGCTAATGGAGTAAAACACACACTCAAATTTACGCGCATTCTATCTTCCATACAATAATGTCAACATTCCCACTTTTAAGTTGCCATAAATCTTCCAATTACAGTCGCTGTAGGGAGGGGGTCACGCTGGAATATTTGAACGCTTTTACGGTGCGTTTTGTTTGCCCGCGAACGACTATGGTTTGAAGCTCTTTCTGGGTCGCAAATGTTGTTTTGGGAATGATCTCTCTCCGGAGGTCTCACAACGCAAGAGTGTTGTACGAACGGAGCGAGACTGTGGGAGAGCCGAAGAATCTGTGCGATGTGGGTTGGAGGGGGTTCGCTTTTTTCATAACCGAGCCATAACAGGGTGCTTGTCAATTTCCCACATGGCAAATGCACATTAGACAATCCTGGATGCGGGAACAAAACATTGTGCAAGTTGCCTGTGGTGGATGCTGTGATTTGAACTGAAATTTACAAGGAAACTGACACACGCAGATAAATGTTTGTTTTTTCTCTCTCTTTTGTTTGTGGGTGGGGGTTTACAAACTTGCGCCCTTCCCTCTCCTTGCCTGTTAAGTACAACACAAGCGGAGATGTGCGGCTTTCCAAACTTGTACCTGTACAGTAGGCAACATTGAGAAGGTGTAGCAGTCACAGGTGTATCGACAAAGTTCAACAGCCGCATCATGACATTTAAGGAAGTGACAGTTTACAAAGAAAAAAAACACAGAAAAAAAAAAAGTACCGGCGACCCATCTGCTCTCAAACAGCTACCGTTTCGTTGGTGGCGGTGTGTGTGTGTGACGGAGGGGTGGGGGAGGGAGAATAGGTGAAGCCACACTGGCGATGTTGGCGAGATTTTGATTGTCAGCGTTTTTTAAATCTTCATTGTGAACCTCAAGCCTTGCGCTGATGCTTGCGGTTGTGTCGGTCATATTAGTGCGCAGCAGCAAAAGAAACATACCACAAAGAAACGCCATTTCCAGCACCCAAATTCATTGTGTGTGGAGTAGGTTTGAAGAAGGAAGGCATCACTATGTATTGCGGCGAGAGACATGCTCGTGAACAATCCATGGAGGCGTGGAGGGCTGGTAAAATATCAGCAAAACACTTGCATTTTAAATCTATATACACACAAACTCGCAGTCAGCTAAAGAAATGGAGAAAAAAAATAACATTTTCACCGGCACGCGTGGTGTTTTTAAAAATCTGTTCTGGTGTAAAAATTAAACGAGTTTCAAGTTTCTTAGGCTGTACCAGTTTTGCAATTACCGAGTTAAGGAGCACTTTAGGGGTTAACGTGGGGTAACTCCTAGTTAGATTTGTTTTTGTTCGCCTGCACATCAGCACAATTGGCTGCCCCGAACTTTGTTCATTTTATTTAGAGAAAAAAAAATAAAAATACATCTTTTCAAAAACAAAACAGGCGGAAAAAGGCAAAGGTGTCAGTTTTATAGCGGGGCCAGATCGAAATGTATTTGAGATAGATGTAATCACTATGAATTCCGGATAATGATGCCAATCAGAAGATTAGGTACGTTTTCGATTATTATGTATGTGTGTGTTTGTGTGTCTCTGTGTGTGTGTGTGTGTCTGTATGTCTTAAGACAAGTGAGGCAGGAGAGGCAAAGTTGGGACAGCATCCCCAAGAACTGATCTACAATTGCCTCCGAATCAATGTTCCCCAGCACCCCCTAAATAAGAAAAAAATTGTAACTGCTGTAAAGGTCAGAAAAGGAGTTGGCAGGAAAATAATTGGTAACGCATGCGCGCCGGGAGGATGCCATATTGGAATGAGGCTTAGAAAAGAGATCAGCTCCAGAAACTGGTCAGTGAAAAAGACCGGCTAACATTGCTACTCTGGGTGAAATAACTTGCTGCCGGTAAGTTAGCCTGCTGCCGGTCATTGATGTGTGCCCTGGGGCAGCCAGGCTGCCTCAGACCGTCGTTTTCCGCTCCATTGTAAAACTGCAGGATCTTTTTTTCTGTCTCTCTCTCGCTAATGATCTCTGGAGCTTGTTTTGCCAAAAAAAATGACGGTGAAAGCAAGTTGTGCAAAGTGCTTGCTTCTCTCTCTCTCTTTCTCTGCATTTTCCTTTAATTTCAGATTACTTGTTCAACACGCGGGGAAGAAGGGAGAAGGCATTTACTAATATCCCGAAATGACCTAAGATTTTTTTTTCTCTTGGGGGAGGGGGCTGTAGGTATTTTTCTCCGAAATGCCAGGAGTTTTACTTATTATAAACGCAGTCGGTTTTTCTCTGTCTCTCTGTCAAATCTGCCATTGTATATTTTCTGCTTCCAAAAATTGATATCTTGTCATTTCAGCTTGCCTGAAAGCTCGTAACCTTCTTTCGATTTTACTAAGCTGACCTACCTTGCCATACCTTCTCATTGCAGCCTATGCGCCTCGTTAGTTTTAAATAAGATATTTTGTATTTCCTGCAGTATTGTTTTATTTTTATCGCTCGGTGTTTGGTAGTATTTCCCCTTGTAAGTTACGTAACTGCCTGTACAGTATAAATATTGGACAACCTTGCCAATTTCAATATGGCGGGGAAAGGTTTTTTTTAAAGTGAAAAAATTAAGGCTTTTTTCACGGGAAAAAACCAAACCGTCTTCACCCCCGACTTCTCTCCAGTGTATTTTGGTGCACAGTCAGGTCCTTTAGTGAATTAAGTAGTCAATTAAGTCATCGCTTTTCTGGCGAAGTTTTTTCCCCTGGAAGACTTTTCAGACTGCTGAACTAAGCTGGCAAAACACCAAGGTACGTTTCTGTATAAAAGGGCCTGTTACCCAACATCACCCAGTGGTGAAATTAGAACGAATTCTGTTGAAAAAATTGGCGTTACATCATTTAGTCCAAAAAAAAATCGACGGCTGGTATTCATACCGAAAAGTATATTGGCGATGAGGGTTAATGATGATACATAGCAAAAGATGCGATGCAAATTAGGTGCACAGTGTATTGCATTTGCTTATTGTGCTATATTTTCCTCATAAACCACTTGTTGGCGTTCTAGATTGCATCTGATATTGGTGATGTCTGTATACACTATGGGATCCGAGAGGTTATGGGCGTAGAGGAGGAGAGAGCTCGTTTGTAAAGAGGCGGGTGTCGACTTTTAGTTTCCCATTTACTCTGGGGGAAGAGTGTATAGGGGGAGGGAGAATACGGCAATGGAGTTTCAGACTGAGAAAAGGGACTTCCTGAATTTTTTTTTTTCTGTCTCTTTCATTGCTCATGCATATTAGAGACAGCTTGGCAAATTGCTTTATCGCATAGACCAGGTGGAATATTGCGATGGGCAGAGGGTCCATGACCCCGCTAGTGGTGAGAAATTACATTGAAAAATCATCTTAAAGCCAGTGACAATAGAGAAATGAATAAACAGTGCTGACTTTGGGGAAATAACTGCCGGGGGTTGGGGGGGGGGGGGGTAGGAGAAGGGGGTGTAATAGGTTTGGGGGGGGGGTGTTAACCAAAGCACAATGCCTTTATTAATGGATTTGAAAAGAAATGTGAACAATAAGGTTTGAGGTCTGAACGGTGCTGCACGCTGTTTCCTAAAAGGGTGGCATTAACAGCCAGAACCCCCTCCCCCGAGAGTGGATTTGTTTGATGCAAATAAGCTCCGATGAGGTCCATTTTTAGCTTTGCGGAAGAATCAATATGCCGATATTCTGTCAAGCGCGCATGGCAAGACTTCACTTCTGCTGATCAGATACACAAGCTTCAAGACGTTTACTCCTCGCTCTGTGCTTCTGTGTGTGCGTGTGCTTTTAAAGCGATTGCTCTTAATCTCCGCGCTAGGGCTATAATTGCAAATCAAGATGTAACCCTTGTCCCTGATATAAAAAGGGATTCGGTCTCTCTAGCGGCAAACGATCGCTGTTTGGCGCCATATGGATATGCTAAACTGGGGAATGTGTAGCTCTTGTCACTGCCTCACTCTTCCACAGGGTCCTAAAGGCAGCCAGCGCCTTTGCAAGCAGCAGCAACGTTTTTGAACGCGCGTTATTTGCGAGCAGACGGTGACGTTAAAGTTTTTTTTTATCGGTGAGTGTGATTAGGATAGCTGGTCAATAATGTTGTTTCATTTGTTTCTTTCTTGAAATGACGAACGAGGTTACTTTTTTGTACCCATCGCCGTTTAGGAACTATTTATTTACTGTAATGTCAAGGGCACATTGTTACCCATGTGGTATCTTTGTTTTTCAAAAGCCACTACCAAATCGTGACGTTGTGACTGGAGACGACCTGGAAAGTGAATAGGTTATCAGATGTAGTACCTCTCTTCACAAACCAGGTAAAGTGGCAATTTTGCTTTAACAATGACAGCAGTAGCTGAACTAACATCACCAGTGGAAATTTGCCCCACTTGATCAATACCTGGGAAATTTGTTGGTTCATTTTGTTTCTAAAATTCTGTCTTAGAATACAGTGTTTCCCTGTTCCTGAAATACACTTCTTACAAATTGAACAATACACACACAATAATCTCAAATAACATCAATTCATTATCATAAATTCACTGATTCTGGAAGGCTCCTGTAGTTCCCTTGATTCAAAAATCTTCAATTAAGTTATGGAAAAAGTTGTTCTTTTAAAAACTATTAATACAAATTCTCCAAAGTTACTATTATTTGTGTTGCTGTGGTTTAAAAGTTAAATGTGTGTTACTAATTTAAAGCAAACTATTTTCCAAAATGGTTCCTGAATGTTATGAAGGAGCAGTGTCACTTGCTACTTGCATAAATTGGATTTATAATGAAAACATTGGTGTCATGTTGCATTTAACATTTCACTTTTCTATAAGCGTTCAACTTCACTTGTTGAGAGTGGACACTTTAACATAATTTTCAGAATTATGTTAGATTTAGATTTTCTCCCAGATTTCCAAAATAACACTTGGTTGTTAACTTGAAGGCTTTTGTTTATTATACTGCAACTATCCTCTTCAGGCCACTCCTGATGGATTCAACCTCAATTTTGCATATTGCTTTGTTCACAGACAGTTTTATGTCCACATGGATTTTACAGCAGCCCTTGGTGCTTGCATGAGCTGGGAATGAAGCTCACCAAATAATTACAGTAACCTTAAACCCATAGATTAAGTACCTGTTTAGTTCTTCTGTTGAGGCCCAAAAGCCCACAAGATGTCTCACTTAGCTACAAGTTTGTTTCCTTGTATCCCAAAAAAGTCAAGCAAGACAATTTGAATTGAAAATTATCAACAAGTTGCTAGTGACAGTATGTCAGAAGGATTAATGAACTAGACCTTTATAGAACAAAGCATAGTGAACACAGATCCTATCTCACACACTTACAGGAGAAAGTTTTGAATATTTATTTGTATTAAATCTCATCACTTTCCTTTCTGGAATTATGGAATTAAATTGATCCATTATGAAACAGTGATACACACTAAAGCCACAGAACCATGAAGCTGAAACTTTATTTCAGTTCATATTTGTTACAGTTATGTGGATAGTGGGAAATTGGTGGTTTATGAAGAAATTCAACAAAAATTTCAAATTAAGATTCTAATGATAACCATGAATCCATTGTTAATCGTGAGAAAAATGCATCTGGTTCACTTTTTTAATCCCGACCTGGTCTGGCCTACATGTGACTCCAAACCCACAGCAATATTATTGACTCCTAACTGTCCCCTGAGCAATCAGGGATGGGCAATAAATGCTGGTCTAGCCAATGACATTACCATCCCATGAATGAATTTTTAAAAAAAAAACATTAGGAGTAGACAGTTAGGAAGTAATGTTGTCTAAGAGGTGGAGATTAAGGTTCTTGCGATGATTTGTACCTCAGGTTGAAGATGAGGTTGTTGGTTTGCTCATCAAGCTGTTTGATTATCGTACAGACGTTTCGTCACCATGCTAGATAACATCATCAGTGCGGCCTCGGATGAAGCGATGTTGTTCTACTCTGCTTGGAATTTATATGATCCAGCCTGTCAATTTGGGTTGTGTCATTTCTTCTGGGTTTTTTTTTTGGCATGAGTTTGTATATAGAAATGACACAACTCAATTTAACAGGCCAGATTATATAAATTCCAAGTAGAGTAGAACAACATCGCTTCATCCGAGGCTGCACTGATGATGTTGATGAAATGTCTGTAAGATAACCAACCATCTCAGTGAGCAAGCCAACAACCTCCGGTGGAGATATTGTATCTTGGTATTTGCCTTGATTACATATAAGTAAATAACTGTGGATAGTGTGCAATTACCTGCCAGTGATATTCCCTTGTGATTCATTTTCCTACCCCTTAATGATGATCCAGTTTAAAATAGCCAAATGTGACAATGTGTGGAATGAAACCTTCTTCGGAAATGACGTGAGCATTAAGTTATTGCAGAAATAACTTCCATCCAAAAGTTTTTATGAAGAAGCCAATCGACTGGTTGGTAGAGTAGCATATTCCGGGAAGTATTTTATAAGAAATAGGCTGAGAGTGAAGATCAAACACAAGTAGAGAGGCTAACTGCTCTTCATTCACTGAAACAACAAATAATTCAAACATATCAGCCATCTGGGTAAATTTGACTATTATTTGAATTAAGCACAGCCAGATATTACAAATTTCAAATGGACACAAATAATCTCATTCAAATATCTATCTCAGTAGTACTGATGTTCATAATGTGGACAGTGCTAAGCAAAGAGAAGGCCTAAACACACAGATTTGGTTGCGCTGGTCCTACTACATTTCATATATGGAATATTTTATTTAACTATTACAAAAGAGCAGTTTTAGAATGACTTGTCTGTTTGAAAGGAAAGCTGATGTCTATATAATGTTTATATGCATTATTAGCACAGCAAGTTGGTTGATGATTCTGTTGCTTAGAGTAATACTGAAAGTTAAGACAAAACTTGGGGAAATCTGCAGCCATAAATTATACAATGTGATTACAGCATAGTTTCAGGCGTTTGTTGCACCTTGGGTAGTAACTGTTTTTTTTTGGAACTTTATAGTGCTGCTGGTTTAGTCTGATTTTACAGTGATGCAAATCTGAATGCTTGTTATATGTTATTGCATACAATACTTGAAAAAAAAACAAGGACTTACGGTGTCACTTTCAGAGGGCTCAGGTGACAATTATAATTGGAGTGCAAAGTGTGGCTGATGTGATCACTGTCTACATCACAGTAACCCAGTATATGTGCTCGCATGAAATCTATCTGCCTGAAACTCTTGAGGGGGAGGTCTATTGCTAGTAGGGTTATGATGAATACACAGGAATGGTTTGCTTCTCAAAGTATCAGCTATTATAGCTGCATCATTTATAAGGAAAAGGGCTAGTGCCATATTTGCATAAACAATACATATTACGATGAATGAGCATTGTTCGTGAAACCATTTTATCCAAACTTTACCCGTCCCCTCCCGGTTATGAATCATTTGCGCTAGATGGACAATGTGTCTTTGGCAAATCCAATGGCAGGGATGCAAGAAACAGTATTACAATTGATGTGAGAGGGGAAATGGAGAGATTTAATGACAATGCGACGGTCACAGGACCGAGGAAGGATGCAAGGCTGGGTTCTGAGAATCTTTGGAGATCGAGGCGCCGGCCCTGGAAGGGCACGTGCCGTTTCCCAGTAAGCGGCGAGCGGGTAATTTCTGTGAATGACTCCTGGACGGCCAATGAGCGCTCGGTCGTTTCCTGGCCGGCCAATGAGCGCTCGGCTATTCTTTGTTGGGGCGGGGGGGGGGGGGGCTGAGGGGGGGGGCCATAGGGGGCGAGGTGAGCCACTGGCGCCTGCGCGCTGGTCGGCCGGGGGTCACGTGCTGACCAGGGGGTCTCGCGCTCGCGTTGACGGTTGGTCATTCCAAGCTGGACGGCGGGTGAGGTGGACGGGCTCTAATCGGGGGCTGGCTGCTTATCTCCACTTTGCTTTCACTCCCCCCGCCATCACCTTGTCCGCTCCCTGAGGTGAGTGGACTCTGATGAAAATGCTCACCTTCTCAAACACTTAATGCCAATGAGCCCACCCCCAATTCTCCTACAAAAAAAAACCCACCAGAGGCTCAGCAGGTCTGGCAGCATCTGTGGAGAGAGTTAACTTTTTTGCATTCCAACTACACCACAGTATTGTCGTTTCGGATCTTCAGAACCCGTTGTTCTTTGTTTTATCACAGCCGGTGCTCAGCCCGTTTGCCCTCCTCTTAAGATATATTACACTAAAAGAGGGGTGGGGAAGCTTTAAAAGGCATATCCTCTGGGTCTATTCTAATTCAGTCAGAGAGATTGGCGATTTCCCGGTGCCTTTTATGACCATTGGGGTTGTCATTTTTATTCTTGCATGGGCTGGAGGGGGTTGTTTTTAGCCCATTCTTAATAGCCCTTAAAATGAGTGGTACTGGCATATCAAAGACCTTTTAACAAGCAACATGTTGTGGGTCTGGAGGCACATCTAAGTGAGTAGATTTCCTTCCGTGAGTGGCATCATTGTAAAAACCCATCCACCAATTCATCACTTTTTTTTTCTTTTCTGACCATGGAGGGATTTGAACCTGGGACCTTTTTGGGTTACTTATCTACTGACATTACCACCCTGCCACTGTTTGCACACCCAATTAAGTACTTCTGAGGCAGCAACAATGCTGTAATGTAGGAAACATGCCAACCAATTTGTGCAAACAAGTGTCCACAAAGTGTAACATAATAATGACTAGATAATGTTTTTGTGATTATTAGCTAGGACATCAAAACTAACTCCTCTGATACTAGATTGAAAGGGATCACTTATATCCACCTGATGGAGCAGACACAATATTGCTTTAATGTCTCAACCAAAAGGGCACACGGGTGAGACAGTGTAGCACCCCAGTACTACATTAGGGTGTCAGGTTTAAATTCTGTACTGCACTCAAATCCTATATTGGGACTATGGACACACACAACTGTCTGACTCACTTGGGAGTGCTACCCCTAACGGGCAGGCCATTTGTTCCAGTTTCTCCAATCTGTTCATATCCCTCATAATACCTTGTCACAATTTTAGTACATTTTTGTATGGTCTACAAATTCATCCTGCCCTTCCCAAAATGGGGACCGTGTTCCAGTTGAATTTAATACTATGGCTCCTTATTAAAAGGGAACATTCACAACTTTCATGCAGGAGGAGAGGTGAGAAGGATTTTTGTCATGGTACTGCTATGAAACAAAGTTTGAAAGCTACCCTAGAATTGATAAAGTCAAGGCTGGTCCCTATTCTGACACCATCAGCGGAACAAAAAATTCAAAAATAAGTTATGGCAGAATCTGAAGCTACTTTTTTAAAAAAAAAAAATACAAGTTTTATTTCCTATTAGTCGATATTCAACCTGGAATGGAGAGTTTAGTTGCATGTTAATTAGAAATGATTGTAGAAACTTGTAGCATTGAAGGATCCTGTTTGAAACTGCAGCTGCTGTTAGTCCTGCATTTCACCTGTTGTTCACAATCGTAATTTCTTCATCTTCAGTTTCATGTCCTTTTTAAAATTGTTTGTGGAATCAATGACTACAACCTTTTTCAGGTGTCATGTTCCAAATCCTGACAGGACTCTGAGTGAAAAGAATTCCGCACAATTCCTTGAATTTCCACCAGTGATTTTGGACATATGACTTCTTGTTATTGGCCTACTTGGAGGAAATATTGTTCTCTATTAAAAGCTCATCTTGAAAACCTCTTAAGTTATTTCTTAACCTCTGATCTAAGGAGTTTGACCCTAATTTTCCCAAACTGTTCTCATAACCATTGATTATGTTTCCATTATAAAAATGTCTTTACTGAGACAAGTATAAAAAGCTATAGTTTTCCTTTTTAATGTTAATTATTTCCAGTGACTTAGTGAGTTTATCCAGCTGAGCCATATCAACCAGTCCAATTCCGGGTTTGATTCCTTTCATGTAGTTATCTGAATTGAGATGGGGCAATACAGCTGACTTTAGTTTTCTAGGATATTTAAAACTATTCCTAATTGAAGTTATTATACATTAATCCCAAAATTTAGCATTACAGTTGAAATATTTCATGTAAACATTTCAAAAACTTAAGTATTAAATCTAGCATTAAATTTATAAATAAGTGCTCTTTAATTTCTTAAATCCTTTGAATCGCACACTGCCGACAAGTAAAGGGGTGTGACAGATGAATAACAAAATCATCATCAGGAGTGGACCAAGGTGGTGATTTTTGGCCTTTTTTTTGTTGAGCTGGGCTTAGCACAGGTCTTCTACTTGTACTGGGCATCCGTACGCACTCTATAAGAAAGCATGCTGGCGGTTGTTTGGATAGAACTTAGTTTGGTTGTTGTGATGTCTGATCCAATTGCTTGCCACACTGCCATTGCCCCCTTAGGTTAGACACTTGAGCACAACTACAAATTGGGGAACTGTGCCCAAGTAAAATGTTAATCACTTTCAGAACAGTGAGGAGAAAGAATTGCAGAAAAATTGGGGTAAAAAGAGTCTTATTTCTGAATTGATTGTTATTTGCTAATAGCGTTAAGTGATGAGTAAGGATGAGTTCATATGAAAGATAGTGTGGCATCTTTTAGTGTGTTCAGATATGTGGTGAAACAGGGATGTGTACATTTTGTGATACTTCTTTTTTCTCACTCAACAGACAATCAAAGGAGAAGCTAACAATGACAAAGAGATTGCTCTGGGCCACTCCTGGTGTCTGTTTTAAAGTGGTTTTGTTCATCTACTATGCCACTTTTCTGTTGGACATAGTATGTGATTCAAAGGATTAAAGAAAACAGAACATTTTATTTATGAATTTAATGTTAGATTTAATGATTTTCTTAAATGTTTTTTTCAAATAGTATTTTATAATTAAAATTTTAGCAGTAAATCTTGGGAGGAATATAGAATAACTTCAATTAAGAATAGTTTGAAATATGTAATTATTATGCATCCTGCATAACTGAATTATGTGTGTACTTGGTTCAGTTATTTGCATTTTTATGTAATGGTTGATTTAAGTTTTTGAGTCTATTACCATTGCACCCGCAACACGCATGTATCAACTATTTGGTCCTCTATCATTCCATTGCTCGCTTTAATACTTTTGATCATTGTTTATAACTTTTCAGTGATTTTTCAGTTCTATTGTATAACTGTATATTTTGTATACCTAAAAGCCCATTGGATAATTTAATAAGATAGTTGATATAATTAAATTTTGGCTAGTTTGATTTTTGGCAGCGGGAATTCAGCTCTTCTAAGTGAGACTATAGGTTATCAACATTGAATTGACGGCGGAATCTCCGATGTTACTAGTCGAAGTTAATTGCAAGAGTGGGAATATTACCATAACAGTAATCGCTGTGTCCTTGGACTTGCGTCGTTTGACGTTTAATGTCAGGGACCTTCATGAAGTTGAACGTTAGATGCTTTGTTGCAGATGACACCAAACTACGAGGAAAACGTTGCTCCATTGAACATTGGGCTCAATTTCCACAGCTTCGTGGTTCTGTAGTAGCGGTTCAGGAAAATAGCGGGGAACTGTGTCGGCAAGGCTTCAAGAGGCACTGAGCTATTCACAATTAATAAGGATTTTTTGGGGGCAAATGTTGCGGCCTCCTTTACGGTGCCGGCGGCCGGCCAGTATTCGCTGCAATGTGATCTCTGCTGCAACGTGTAGCCTGATGTACAGCGAGGTGCTGACCTGCTTCAGCAGCGCTTCCCTGGTTCCCCATCAGGCTCCAAGCACACTCGCATCTGCCATTCTCCAACAGTCCGTCCATCCCCGAGGCTGCTACGCTGGCTCTGTTGCAGACGAATTCGGGCTAGGAACTGATGTCTCGTTCCAACGTCAGAATCCTGATGCTCCTGGCCGCATCCATCCATGTTCTCTATCATTGGAAAATGTTCAAATAGGCAATCTCAATCAAATGACCGCTCTCAGCAGTTGAAAGATGAGAGTCGACCCAGTGTAGGTTGTTGGTTTAATTTGTTCACTGATACTTAACTTACTCAAACAATTAAAAATACATGACGATCAAGTTTTCAGCCTTGTAAACTAATATTCATTTACCTTTGGTACAGAACTGGTGAAGGAAACATGTTCACTTTGACTTTTAAGACTTTGTTTTTACTTTTGTCATTTTTTAAAAAAAAAATGCCATCCCTGTCGTTTACTTTTACTTTTCCCTTTTGCTTGAACCACATTTCATAGGTGCCTCCAAGGAAGTAGAGGATATAATTTAGTCAATGGAAAGGTAGATCTCTTGGGATGATATTCAGGAGTGCACTATTCCTGCCCATTTCTCTCCCAACACAAACACACACACCCCCTCAACTCCGGCCCCACCCCCAGGAAGAACTTTGAGATTTGTACAGAGCTCTGTAGTAATTTTCTCCAGTTCTAGGTAGTCAATGCACTTCTGCATATTCTGCCCCCCTCACTTTGTAGTATCTGCACTGCTATAAATTTAAAAAAAAAACTCAAAAACACAGAATTGCATGTTATTCTATCAAACAGCCGTTGAGGGGCTGAAGTTTGTAATATTCATCCAGTCATGATTCTTGGCCTTCAGAGGGTTTGCTGAGATGATAAACTGTGAAGATGTCAAATCTACAGAGGAGTTCTTCTACTACACACAAAGGCAAAAATACTGCAGATGCTACAAATCTGCTGAAGCTAGAAATAACAATGCTAGTTTACTCAGCAGGTTAGGTAGTATCTCTAGAGAGAAACAGAGTTAACACAAGTTGATGACCTTTCACCGTTATTGAAAGGTTATCTTGATCTATGTTAACACACTCTCCCTTCACTAATGCTGCTCTGACCAGCAATTTTTTTTTTATTTTTGTTCCCGAACTGTTCTCAAGCTAATATTTTTTGTAGAGTTGATTGCTGTCTCCCTGCCTGTGCCATGTCATGATCAAAAAAGAGAACTAGTTTAATTTTATTGCCAAGATGAAGATTAACTGGAAATCATGCACAAATGCTATTTTCCAAGGCTTCCTGCGTCACTGTTGACCGGGAGGAGGATGAGAGTTGACCAATGCTACTGTTTCCTTCTGCTGAAACAATTAAAAATAAATGATTGTTCCTCTCCTCATACTATAGACAGCTCCATTCTTTCCCCAAATAGCCTAGTCGCAATTGGGAACTGTTGGGGAACCACCAGGAAAACCCAAACTTTCAAAGTTTTCTCAAAATGGTATTTCTTTATCTTGAAGGGAAAAATCATGCATTTTTATTGAATAGAATAGAATTAGGTTTATTGTCATATGTACTGACCTGAGTATAGTGAAAAATTTATAAAGTAGCTGCTTACGGTGTGATCGTAGGTACAAAGTTACCTTGGTACAGTTTCTTCGGAATAAATTAGAAAAATAAATAATAAGTCCAGCATTACAGACCTTCATCCCATCCGAGGTAAAAAAGGTATCTGGGAAAATCCTGGGGAATAAATTAGAATAAAGAAACAAGAAGTTCAGAATTTACGACTTTGCAAGTAGAGAAGATGGAGCAGACGACTCTGCACTGGCCTCTGGGCCTCGCCTCTAGCCTGCGCAGGGTGAAATAAAAGTAATTATATAAGAGTTGCAGGCTTTCATTAGAATGTTTGAAAAGTTACATCTTTCAAAAATACACTTGACAATTAATAGGTGTATTCGTACAAAATCCACTTAATTGCACAGGAACAACATGAGTGCAAACTTCTAAAGCTTGTGCAATTTATGGAACTAGGTAGCAATGAATGGAGATCAAAGATGGTGTGATTCCAGCTTAATCTCTTTTTCAACACTGCAAAAAACCATTATGTATCACAAGCATACATACAGATCTTGTGATTTATAAATATTATCTTGCCAAATGATATAATTTTAAGGTTCCTCTTGTATTTTTTTAAACAATAAGGCGTTAAGTGGAAGTCTTAAATAGAGTTAGACATTCTTCCTGGATGTTTCTTGAGTGATGAGGTGAATACACGTGCGCTCTAAATAATTTTAATTTGATTTTATTATCACGTACCGAGATACAGTGAAAGGTATTGTTGTGTGTGCTAACTTGACAAATCAAACCTTACCTAAGTATATCGGGGTAATAGAACAGAATACAGAATATAGTTACAGCAATGGAGAAGGTGCAAAGAAAGATCAACTCTAATATGAGAGGTCCGTTCGTAAATTTGATAACAGCGGGAAAAAAGCTGTTCTTGAATCTGTTAGTCTGTGCTTTCAAACTTCAGTATCTTCTGGTGGAAGAGACTATAACTGGGATGACTTGTGGTGATTCTTCATATAGGAATAACAATTCTGAAATGATTAGTCACAGTTTACGTAATCGTAAGACTATCAGAGTAATTGTTTAAGGTCCTGGTGAGGTCACACCAGGTGTACTGGGTGCAGTTTTGAACATCTTGCTTAAGGGAGGTTGACTAATGTGAGAAAGAGTGTCTTGAAAGTTAACTGTACTAATTCTTCACTTGAGGTGGTTTTCCTATAAGAAGAGATTCTATATATAATCTCTGAAATTTGGAAGAAAAAGACTAAATTTATTGAAATATATAATTTTCTTAAGGGATTTGATAGAGTAGAAGGATGTTTCCCCTGACTGGAAAGTCTAGAATTAAGCAGGTCACTGTTTCAGGGGGAATAAAAGGTTGTTCTTGGTTAATCTCCAGAAGTAACACAAGTGCATGTGTTCTGATGTCACAGGTAACATAATTGAGTTACTGAGTAACCAAGATAAAATGAGCTATTTATTATTATGAAGACAAACGTGTTATTAAAGTGGAGTATGCTGAATTGTAACCGACCTTATTTGAACACTTAGAGTATAACAAGAAGGAAATTCAAGAGTTATTTACACAATATTTGCTTTAAATGACGATTTATATTGAGGGAAAGATCTGAAGTGGAATTATTCTGTTTGATTTTGTGGTTACTGTTGATAGTGGGGGAACAGGACTAATCATTACTATACATTTTATAAATAGTGACAAATTCCTGTTTTTGCTTTGGTCGCAATCACTCTCAACATATGTAAATGTGTCAGTTTGAAGTTCGTATTTAGCAATTCATTGTCAGCTGTGTGCTATATTCCTGAGAAAATTTTGATTTGGATGATTTCATGCTTTAATTGTTAAGACTGACAAACTATAGGTATTGCACTTGCAGAAAGATGCAATAAAATTGGTTAATCAGAAACAATGCATGTTTAAAGTAGAGAGATTAAGTTTGTGGTTATTTTGCCCCCAGCTGCTGTTTGATGTATATGAACAGGATTTTAAAAAAATTGTTTACTAATTTGCCTTTTCATTTGCAGAAACCGTTTGAGTGGTATGAACTAAACCAGAGGAAATGGTTTGAATGCTTCAAACAGACTTTATTGGCCTTGGAACCAGAAAGCAGAAAAGCCTCTCTTTTAAGTATGCAAGAATCAACAACTTTGTTTTTAGAGAAGACTCAAAGTCCAAACAATTTAAATGGAGAGCAGTATGACTCAGGTACAAGTTGGGTGTTTGTATGTTAATTTAAAAAGAAGTAACAAAACACTTAAGAGTAGGATTCAAATTTAGTTAGCATTTTAATAGAGTTTTGCAATTAGGTATGAAAGATTCTGGGAAGCGTAAAACTAAAGGTAATCTTGTTTTCTTGTGATGGTTTATGTTTGAAGAATAATACAGTTTATGTTTGAGGGGGTGGGGCAAAATGTTCAGGTATTTAAATCACAAAAAAACTCCGACTGTAAAGGCAAGTTTTCTCTGCAAGTGCTGCCTGTGTCTGTTTGCATTGCTGTGTAATTTCACAGTGTTACCTCAGAACACTTTTTAAATTACTTTCTGTTCCCAAGTAATGTTAATTGTGTTTTGGAAAAGTGCAGTGATATTTAACACACAAAGCTGAAGTATACCATTACACAAGAAGACAAAATCATAGCTTGTCAGAACAGTATTATTGTCATAGTATGTCACAAATCTTTATTCTACTTGTATGTGTGAGTGGAGAGATTGAAACAAGATGTATATATTCATGAGAAGATTGCATATACATTATATTAACATTCTGTGTGGGCCATTGACCTGATAAGGGAAAAATAGCTCAGAAGTCCTGAAAGTGGAACCTGTACATATACTCATGCATTATAGATTACTCATACATTATAGAATAGAAAGAAGTTTTAGAGGTAGAAGAGAAATAATAGTCACTTCTTTAAAAAGCAGCAAGAAAGTCATTCTTTAAGTTGGCAAGTGTAGTAAAATCTAGTTTAGTACCTTTTTTGCATATTTTGGATATATTCAACTCTACTTCCAAAAGACTTTGGTACTAAAAATGATCAGATGATGCAAACTTGCAGTTTATTGTCTTGTTTATATTGTTTAATTCAAACTTTTGGATTGTTTTGAAAAATGAAAATTATGACTGAATCATAAGAACCTCTTTTTATTTAACAGCACTCTTTTTCTCAACATAGCCCTGACCAAGAATGGGAGGCAGCATATGGATTTTGCATGTCTTCAAGAAGGGATCAGTTTTCTGATTCTCAGCTGATATGGCAAAGTAATTTATTTGATTTCTGTCTGAATAGTGAGGGTTTAGCCTGTATTTCTTGGTGAAGTAATTCCAGAGGCCAGTATCTTGTCACCATGTCATCCTTTATTCACACATGCGTAGCACTTGACACTCATCCAGCTTTCTCAGAGCCAGCTCTGAGTGACCAAAACCACTGACACTCCTGTTTATATCTGTCAACTAGGGCTCCCTGATTGGACCAGGTTAAGATCCCCAATCAGGGAACTCGTATTCTATGATGTCCGCCTGGCTGACCTTGTTATAAACACTACACTTGCATGTTGAATGAACAGTTTATCAAAAGATACATATCTTGGACAATGAATTATGTTGATTTATGTTGAAGCACAATGGGTTATTGTCACTAAGCTGTAAGTTTTTAATAGAAAGCTTTTTACTTGGTATATTTATGTTGCACTATCAAAACACCCTAGTTCAACTGGTATTTGGTGGGGAGGCGGCGGCCTAGTGACTTTATCACTGGACAGCTAATCCAGAGATCCAGGTGATGACCTGGGGATCTAAGTTCAAATCCTACCATGCCAGACAGTGGAATTTGAATTTGAATTTGAATTTGATAAACATCTGGAATTAAGGCCTAATGATGACCATGAATCCATTGTCGATTATTGGAAAAACCCATCTGCCCCATCAATGTCCTTTTTGGGAAGGAAACTGCTATTCTTACGTGGTCTTGCCTATATGTGACTCCAGACCCACAGCAATGTGGTTAACTCACTACTGCCCTGTGGGCAAATGGGGATGGGCAATAAATGTTGGCCTTGCCAGCAATGCCCTTGTTCAGTAAATGAGTTAAAAGAAAACAAAATTTGGGCTTGTGAAATAGTGTAAATTTTTTTTTAGGGAAATAACTAGAAGTTCAGCAAAACATTTTTAGTAAATAAAAACTGAAAGAACTGCGGATGCTGCAAATCAGGAACAAAAAAAATTGCGGGAAAAGCTCAGCAGGTCTGGCAGCATCTGTGAAGGAAAAAAAGAGTTAACGTTTCGGGTCCAGTGACCCTTCCTCAGAACTGAACCGAACAGAATATTTTTAGTATCTGATATGTTGCTTTCTTAACTAGCAAATGTGTATTACAAGGTGAGAAATTGAAATTGAGGTTTGCTTTTGATCTTTTTTTTTGTCCTGTCAGTTTGAATCGTTCAACCTGCTTATATAGAGAATGTTTGTTTTATGCAGAGTGTTAATATGCTGATAAAGGCTCAAAGGTAGAGGCAGTTGATTTTCAAGCCAGTGCCATTGTTCACTATGATTTTAAACTTGTGCTACCAAAAAAAATTTGGGATTCAGTAGGTTTAGATTCCTGATTTTTAAGTAGGGTGGTGGGTTCATTCAGTTTGCATGAGCTCCAGAGAAGTACTGTGATTATACAGATGTAGATATCATTGGATTCCAATCTATCAATTTAACTAGTAGCCCCTCAGTATTAAATGGTATCCTTCCTCCATACCTTCTCAAATAACAATTAATATTCGTACCTGTCACCTCCCAGGAGCAAATGGGATAACCCAAAGAAACAAAAGAGAGCTCCTGTTCCTGAATTGTAATGTTATATATATAAAATGTGAGACTTTGTGCGCATTAATTGAAAATAAAATTAATCAGCAGCTTTATTACAATTACTTTTTACAGGTAAACTAGTGATAATTTGTAATAAAGTCTATAATACATTCACACTCTTGTCAGTGTGAGTACAATATTGGAAAAATTATTTTTTACAAAATTTGTTGTAACAAAAGTATCAGTGTATAAAATGGCAAAACGAAAGTCCCACAATATACTTTTTATCTTGAATAAATATATTAGGAGGTACTCAAATTTTGAATTAATAACAAAATGTCACCGAATCACTTTATATTGATGAATGTAAATCTTACCATATCCAAAGCAACATGAGTAACTGAGAAGAAAATATGTTCCTGAATTCTAAAATAGCTATTTACATGACAGTAATTTGATATTGGCCTAAATCTTGGGTTAGCAATAAATTTTGAGTAAACAAGTTTGAAGTGTACATGTGAAATCAGCACATTAAATTTTGAAATATGATTTGTGTAACAACTTGAAATTATATGGAACAAAAGCAATGCTGGAGAAACCCAGTAGGTCTGACAGCATCTGTAGAGAGAGAAACAGTTAACACTGAGTTAACACATGAATATATGGAAAGCAGTGGGATTAATGAAGGGATAGAGTTAGAAGTGGAGAGGAAGAAGTATCTCGAGGGACATCTGTACCCTTGAGTGTTTACAGCTTGCATTCCTTAACACCGGAAAGGAAGAGCAAAGGTTTCTTGTTTAAATGTTGAACAGGAATTCTACAAATACATTAGGGACTGAAGAGTGACAGGACAGAGAATAGGACCCCTTAAATCAGCAACACCCCTTTGTGTGGAACTGCAGGAGATGGGGGAGATGCTAAATGATTATTTTGCATTAGTGTTTACTGTGGAGAAGGATATGGAAGATAGAGAATGTGGGGAAATAAATAGCTACATCTGTAATATGGATACTTTTCAAGAGGTGTTAGATGTCTTAAAATTCATAAAGGTGGATAAATCCCCAGCATCTGATCAGGTATACCCGAGAACTCTGTGGGAAGCTAAGGAAGTGATTGCTGGGCCCCTGGCTGAGATATTTGTATCATGGATAGCCACAGGTGAGGTGTGGGAAGACTTGATGTTGGCTAACATGGTGTCACTATTTAAGAAAGGTCGTAAGGAAAAGCCAGGGATCAGTGGACCAGTGAGCCTGACATTGGTGATGGGCAAGTTGTTTGGACAGAATCCTGAGTGACAGGAAATACCTGCATTTGGAAAGGTAAGGACTGATTAGGGATAGTTAACATACATGGCTTTGTGCATGGGAGATCGTACCTCACTAACCTGATTGAGTCTTTTAAAGAAGTAACAAAGAGGATTGATAAGGGCAGAGCGGTGGATGTGATCTATGTGGGCTTCAATAAGGCGTTTGTCAAGGTTCCTAATAGTAGACTGGTTAGCAAGATTAAATTACATGGTATAGAGGGAGAACTAGCTATTTGGATACAGAAATGGCTGGAAGGTAGAAGACAGAAGGTGGTGGTGGAGGGTTGCTTTTCGGACTGGAGGCCTGTGACTGGCTGTATGCCACAAGGATCGGTGCTGGGTCCATTTTTTTGTTTTTTTTTGTCACTTCTATAAATGATTTGTATGTGAATATAGAAGGTACAATTAGGAAGTTTGGAGGTGTAGCAGACAGTGAAGAAGGTTACCTCAGTACATCGGGGCCTCAATCAGATGGGCCAATGGGCTGAGGAGTGGCAGATGGAATTTAATTTTGGTAAATGTGAAATGCTGCTTTTTTTTTGTTTTTGGAGAGGCAAATCAAGGCAAAACTCAACCAGTTAATGGTAAGGCCGGAGGAATGTTGCTCAACAGAGACCTTGGGGTGCAGGTTGAAAGTGGAGTTCCAGGTGGACAGGATAGTGAAGAAGGCATTCGTTATCTTATAGAATCTTAGAATCCCTGCAGTATGGAAACAGGCCCTTCAGCCCAACAAGTCCACACTGACCCTCAGAGCATCCCACCTAGATCCATCCCCCTGTAATCCACCTCATCTACACATCCCTGGATGCTACGGGCAATTTAGCATGCTCAATCCACCTAGCCTGCACATCTTTGGACTGTGGGAGGAAACCGGAGCACCTAGAGGAAACCCACGCAGATATGGGGAAAGTGTGCAAACTCCACACAGACAGTTGCCCGAGGGTGGATTTGAACCCAGGCCCCTGGTGTTGTGAGGCAGCAGTGCTAACCACTGAGCCACCGTATCTCCTTTATTGGTCATTACATTGAGTATAGGATTTGGGAGGTCATGTTGTACCTGTACCGGACTTAGTGAGGCCACTTTTGGAATACTACATGCTATTCGG